GTCGGACGCAGCAATCAATTGTTTAAAGTACTTTATAATATAAATAAATGTCTGACTTATCGAGTTTAGATGTGTATACGTTACGAAATAGATTAATGCGGAATTAGAGAATTTCAGCCAATGAATTTCTAATTCTGGTAACACTATCAATTTTAAATTTTTATTGGTTTAAAAAATAAATTCGACTCGGTTTCGTTTGTATGCAAAAAATTTGGTTTATAAACCGAAAAGTTCAGTTCGGTTTCGGTTTCGGTTTATTTACATTTGATTGATTAATAAACGCTAGATTCTAGCTAATCTGTTATAATTATTTATCTTTTTATTTTGTTTTTATTTCTAAATTATAATAATATTTGAAGTAATAAACTTTTTACAGTTTCTGATTCTTGTTAAATGGTGATACTGCAAGGTAGTTTTTTGATTATGGTTTAACTTTTGGGCTACTCTCGAGTACAAAATATCATAAAAAATCACGTGCGCGTAAAGAAACTTTACACCGATCGTTTTTGCAAACATTCGAAATAAGAAGTACCGTTATTTTTTTTTTTTGTATATTAATATTAATATATACTAGATGTAACCCGTCAGTGAAGCTGACGGTTACATCTAGAGCACACTATAAATAATCTTGTAAAAATTTTTTTTTATTCAAAATTATTTAATACTGTAAATTCATAGCATTAATAAGTTTGATTGCATTTATTATAAATATGTGTAGATTTAAAAAAATAACAGCTTTGATTGACATAATTTTGTAATTTATTTTCACACATAGAAAAGCAGCCTCAGGGAAATGTCACACGACTATTAACGTTAACCTGGTAATCCGTTAACTACCGGATAAAGTCTTAATGGGTCGTACACTAATAGTATAATTTTCAGAGACAGACTGTTATAGACTATAGAAAATTTTAATTAAGAAATCCGTTATAGAGCAAGTTTTTTAAATAGTAATAATAAAAAATTCGGCTTTAACTCTCAGTTTGATATAGGGTGAAGACTATTATAGAAAAGGCCGTTATAGAGAGTGTGAACTGTATACGCGACATGCTGCAACAAAACCAGGCAAAGTGAACATTTGTATTACTAAGAATTTCAGGGATCAATAATCTTTGTTTAATGATATTTGTAGGATTATTTCTAGATAAAAATAGTTAATATGAAACTTATTTACATCAGATCTACTATGGAATCCAAGAATTATAGTACTATCAGAAGTATTTTAAAAAAGGAACAATGTGAGAAACTTGCTCCTTACATTTTCGAAATAAATGATGCTCAGACACTTGAAGCTTATTAAGGAAAGGGGAAAATCACATATGAAATTTGTCAAGAAGAAAGAAAAATCATAACTAATAAAAGAACGTTGACACAAAACCATGATGAATCTAGAAAGAAAGAAAAATAATTTACCACAACAGATAGGCAAAAATTCCTATCATCAATAAAACGCTTCTTCACAGCATATTTTCTAGTAATTTAAGAATAAATCAAGTATAAATTAATTATAGTTTAAGTGTAATTTAAGTATAGTTTAAATATAGCTCAAGTATGAAATAAATAAGTAGAAAATAAATGAAAACCAAATAGAAAATCATGTTTATTTTCTACTTGAGTTTGTAAGAACGAGAATGTTTTAAGTGTCTCCCATAATAGTCAAAATATGCTTAAATTACACTTGAAGTATGCTTAAAACATGCTTATTTCATGACTTAAATTAAGAATGTTTTAGTGGTATAATAAGTATGTTTTAAGTGTGCAAACTTTGCATAGGCTATCGGTTACAATGTATCAGGGGAATATCTGTCAGGTGACCCAATAAAATAATAATTCTAAAAATATTGATTGGGATAAGGGTATATGAACATTGGATAGGTCTTGCTGATAAAATGCTGATTCAAATTCTTCTACATTAATCCGTCCTAGATTAAAAGAACATTTAAAGGTGCATTTTTCACTAATTATTAGTTTTTAAATATTTAAAATTTTTAGTATTTAATTATCAAATAAATTAGTTAGTTTATTTAAATCGTGAGATATAAAAAAATCTTGTCAGTGTTTGAGCCGTAGTCAATTTGGGCAAGTCAAAAAATTTTGATGTGTGCCACGTGACGCATAATTTTTTGGTATTGTATATTGCATATTGGTGATAGTGAAAGTGACTATATATAAAAGTCATGACCATAAAGTGACTGTATAGGATGTGACTATATAGATAAGAGTCTCATTATTTACATTATCAAACTACTTTTTTTTTATTGTTTTTAAATAATAATAATAACAATAATGTCTGCGTATTCTTCTGAAGGTGATCTTGATAGAACCTCAATGGATCAACGTACTAGACTTTTGTCTAGTACAGAGAGATTAAATGACAGTAGTAAACGTTTACAAGATAGTCATAGAATTGCTTTAGAAATAGGTTAGCTTTTCTCATGATGGCAACAGTAATAATTGCAAAATTATACACATATATATTATTTGAATGCATGAATTAATTAATTAATTACTTGTTATTATTTTTAGAAAACATTGGAGCAGATGTATTGGGAGATATTCGTAGACAACGTGAACAAATTATACATACTAGAAATACAGTGTGTATTTTATTATTATTAATTAGAAATTAATTACACAAAGAAAGAAAAGAATTTATTAATTGTATTTCTATTTCATCTTTATATATATAGTTGATGGAAGCAGATTCTTATATTGATAAAGCACAACGTACTCTAAAGGGTATGACACGCCGGTAAATAAAGCAAAATAATAACACTATTTGTTTATTAATTTGAAGTTTTTTTTATTAACCAAGTTTTTTTTTTCTTCCTCAAAAAATAATAATAATTAGCATGGCAACCAACCGATTTCTCACATTTTTAATTATAGCAATACTTGTTGCTTTAATTTTATTAGTAATTTATTTAAAATTCTTTTGGTGAAATCCTTCTTTATAATAATAATAATAAATAAAAGATAAGATTATAATAAATTAATTCAAGGTATATATATATATCATTACCATTATTATCATATTATTATTTATATTAGTTCACTAATGCCCACACATTCTCTCTATTATCATGAAAGAAAGATGTATTTTTATTTATAAAAAGTGTTTTTGTATTATTTATATTTTTTATGCATACAAATTCCATATTTATCCTATTTTTTATATAACAACATATTAACATCCAGATTAATATTAAATAAAATAAATAATAAATAAAGTTCGATTAGTCTTTTTAAAAATTAAAAACTGTGTTTGGGGTTAAAAATAATCTAAAATGGTTTATTCTTCATATCAAGATTTGCTTTCTATTTATAATAATAGAGAAATGCCATTTTCAATCAAGATTCAAAAAATTGAAGTGTTTATAAAATTGTATTTTGGATTTAACAGCATTATGATTATTTTTTTGACTTCCAGATAAGGTTTTTAATAATTACATGGATCATTAGATAGCCTAGGTTTTGATGAATCCACTACATAAAATCATATAAAATCATGTGTTTCTAATTTGTGTATTATTTTTAGTTAAAAAAAAAAATGAAGGAAATTTTATTAGCTTATAGTTTACATAGATGCTTTTATGACATGTAGAAATTTCATCAATATATCAAAAAAATTATTTGATAAGTGACCTGAATTTAATGTACTATATCAATACCCAAAACTACTTGTCAGTAAGATTGCTATTCAGTCTGATCCAAAAACGATTTTGTTGTTATCAATTACCTTGTTTTAAAAAAAAAAAAAAAAGGAACTATCTGTTGAAGAAAATTTTAGCAACTAATGACATATATATGTACATTGATGACTGTTGTAACAGTTGAATATTATCAAACCTCCCATTAGTACATTGTTCCTCTAAATATATATATACTGTATATATGTGTGTGTTTAAATAACTCTTGCACCCTTAATTGGTAACACTATAATAAATAAAATATCATCCAAGAATTTAGTATGTCAAGTTTATATGACAAAAAAAAAAAAGATCATGATACAAAGAAATAAATGATAATATTTACAATTGAGGGTTTATATTCCATCACAGATGGTCTTCTCCCACTTTTCTTTTTACTGTTGTTGTTATTGTTGACATTCATATTTAAAAGATTTATTTGCCTACAGCCGGTTAGTTCTAAATCACCATCTAATAATAACTGTGATTGTTGCGATCAAAGAGGATGAACAAGAAGGTATAACGTTAGTATGTGGTCATGCTCATCATAAATGTTTGTCTCGAATGTAAAATCCTATATAAATAAAGTAAAAAAAGATAATTTGTTACTTGATAAATATTAATGAAGAAAATAAAGATTACAATAATGACGAATATGAAATAACAGAAGATGAAAAAATACCATTAGATTTCAGAAATTCTTTAAATAAAACAAAAATGCATGATTCTGAGTCTAGAATGTCTTACAATATACTTACATTGATCATTAAAGCTTGAAATATAGCTCCTATGTAACCCTTCAAAAGCAATTTAATCATTTTTCGCACACATACTGAGAACATAGAGAGCAAAATATACACATTAAAAAAATACATCTCAGGTTAAACAAGTTTTTGTGCGCAGTCACGCGACTTTTTTCTATTCTAAATTCAATTGAAGCCGCATGTTTCACAACATAAAAAAGATCAATGATCGATTTAGTCACATGTGATAAAACGAATGACCACTATGCTATTATTGGTAAAGTAATATTATCAATATGCTTTATGAATCATTGGGTACACAAAATGCTTGCACATTTTATAGTTTTGGCACATAGATTTAGTTTCACAAGTAGATTTAGTTTTGACATTTTGCTTGCTTGAAAATCAAAACTAAATTTTTTAATTTGCTGAAACTATTGTTGAAATTTATTAGTTTAGGCAAACTTCTATATTGTAAGGTAAGATTTATTTTTAATAGCAAAATAAATCTTAATCAAATCCTAAGATTAAATAAATTTTGATCAACAAATTTATGAGATCAGTTAATCAAATTTAATTTCTGAGGATGCCCTATGTTTGAAAGACCAAATTGAAACACTGGACTAAATTCATATGCAAATAGTTGCCTAATTTGAATCTCATAATTCGAAAACCTTTTACCAAATTTTTACTTAATTTGGAAAGATAATCAGGTTTTTTAAAAATTGAAAGAGTTTACTTGTGATCAGCACCATTAGTAAAATTAAAATGTAAATCTTTACCAAATACATTGAAATCATTGTAGAAAATAAACTTTTTTACCAGTGTTTCGTTTTTATCTTTAAAAAAAAAAAAGCCACGTTTTCATATAAAAATTTCATATGATCCTTTATTTGGAAACGAAATTCATAGCATATGCAAACAAATGACTCTAGTTTAAATTTCATACATGGTTGATAAAAAAAACCCATTTTCAAAAAGTGGTTGGGGAGAAAGTATGATTACACCGGCAGAAAACATTTAATTCATGATTGTAAAATTTACGTAAAATTCAAAAGATGGAGAGAAAGAAAAATGCAAGAAAGCTATCTATGATGGAAGATAAACTCTCACTTGTAAATATTATTGTTTATTTTTTTTTGTGTTGTGATCGAGTTTTTTGATATATAAACTTGATATATTAATATTTTATTTATTATAGTGAAAAAATTATTTAAACACACATGCATATATATATATAACTTGGTTTCTAAAAAAAAATTTAAAAAAAGGTGATTGATAACAAACAAAATCGTTTTATGTGTATATCTAGATCAGATTGAATAGGAAATCTTACTGACAAATAGTTTTTGGTATTGATTTGAGAATTAACTGTTATTTTCTTTCTTTATCAAGAGAATTGTTTTGAAAGTAGGTCACTTATATATTTTGATTAATTAGAGAAACATTATTTCTTGATTTTTTAATGATGCATTTAAAAAACAAGAAGGATTTTTAAACAACAATAACAGATATACTCATGGTGTAATTATAGAGTGATGTATACAATTTAAAAAATGTATTTAAAATATATTTCTTTTATATTTACATATTTACATTTATTTTTATTTTTTATTTCAAAATTCATATATTCATTTATATTTATGTCACCAATTTATCTATTTATTTATAGGAAATGTCAGATATATATATACAGTATTATATAATGGATGACAATTTATGATCAAAGGTAAAATGTTGATTTGATGAAGTTGAAAAGTAAATAATATAATAATATACAGGGTGTAACAAAAAAAACTGGATTTTTTTTTATGCAACATAAATGCATTTCATGTGTTTGTTTTCTGTCCAACTTGAGAGATGTAAAATGGAAAATAAACATGATAATCAGGAGTAAATTTGAGCATTGTTTACAACCCTGACCCTTAGTGTACTTTTTGCTTTATGTACAAACACAATGCCTGCTTCTAAGCAAGAAATGCAACATCAAATGCATATTACATTTGTAGAACAAGGGCATTCACAATGGCCAGAAATTCATTGCCGAACAAACATCCCACTGTCTACTATTTATGGTAACATTAAAAAAATAAAAGAAAAAGGGACAGTGGAGCACACATGAGGAAATGATCAGCCCAGGAAAATAACTCCAAGATGATTGGACAATCAATATGGAGAAATGACTCAATTTCCACATGGACCTTAGCTCAAAAAGTGTCACATATGATAATTTCGATCTACCTGACCACTTATGGGTACTCAAAAGCATTGCCTAGACAAACACCTATGTTAATCAAAGCTCATAAGCAAAGGCATGTTGAGTGGGCATGTCAACACCTTAATGACAATTTGAGGAAGACATTATTTTCTGATGAAACTGCATTTCAACTTTACTGAAACACCATCAAATGTTGGTACAAAGGTGAATGGCCAATTTGTTCCATGCCCAAAGATCACACAAGTGTCTTTGCATGGGCAGATTTTGCATAGTTGGAAAAACAAGTTTATTTTGTTTCAGGAGGATAATGGATGCCAAATTTTATGTAGAAATCCTCCAGAAACATATGCCAGAAGTAAATAAGATGCTTGGAGGTAGATGGAGACTCCAGCAAGACAATGATCCAAAACACATGAGTCATCTTACTATGGAGTTTCTGAAAGAAATCATTCTGGTGGTTATGGACTGGCCATTGAATAGTCCTGATTTAAATCTGATAGAAAACCTTTGGGGAATTGTTAAGAATAATGTAGAAAGGCGTATGCCAAAAAATCTTGGTGAACTAGAGAGATTTATGATGGAATAGTGGAATAGAATTCTGGAAAGCATGTTAATTAATTTAATAGAATCAATGAAATGACGTTGTGAGCTTATTATTGAGAGGAATGGAGAATGGATTTCTTATTAATTATTATCAAATAAATTTGGTTGTTTTTATCTTACAAATGACCCATTTTTTATAAAAATATACAGTTTTTTTTGTTACACACTGTATTAGACTATAACAAAAAAAACAAGCCTATGTATTATAAACATTCAATAAAGAAATACTATATAAATTTTTTTATTTATTATAAACATTTTATTTTTATCAATTTGAACTAAATTTCCTTCCCTCCAATATTAAGTTTTTCAAATTTGCATAATGATCTTCAAGCCAATAAAATTTATTACCATGTGATATATCACTTGTGTGTGAGATATTTTTATAGTAAAAATTTATTGCTTTGAAAAATTTTAAAATAATGGTATCAAACCAAGGAACATCAAATACTTTAGATAATTATTTTCAACATGAAAATGATGATATATATGAAATTTCATCAATTACACCAGAATTGTCAAATAACAAAAGAAAACATGCTGGCAATAGACCATTGTCAGAAGTTTGGACCCATTTTACAAAAGGAGATGAAAAACCAAAGGCCATTATGAAGCAACTTGTAAATATTGTCATTAGAGATGAGATAGAGCTTATCCTAGTAGATTGGAAATTCATCTAGCAAATCAATGTATTGAGTTTCAGCATTCATTTGTAGTTTCAGCACAGTGATTGAGTTTCAACAAAATGACTAAGTTTCGGATAGCATAATGGGCATTTAATTTCATTGGCTAAATTTTGTGATGATCTCCCTTCCAGATATCACGCAAAAATTAAATTTATTGGCTTGATGATCATTACACAATTTGAAAACAATATAAATTTATATCGGAGGAGAATTTAATTTCAAAATGGAATAAGTGAATTTCAAGTTGATGCAAGAATATATTTAGATATAAAGCAATTATCATAAAATAATCATATATATTGTATATTTAAAACAATAGATTTACAAAATGTTAATAACAATGATCTATTATTTATTGTTGTTATTATTATTATTATTATTATTATTATTATTATGTTAATAACATAATTAATCAAAATGTATAAATGACTGGGGTGTTACATATCAGCATAAACACAAACATAGTTGAGCACACATATAAAAAATCATATGTGAGGAAGCATAATGGACATTCGTTTTATCACTTATCAGTAAATAATGTTTTATTCCAATCGTCATTAGGATGTTGTTGTGCCCATTGTACATGGTTTTCTTTGTGAACAGCTGTCAACATTGGCATAGCTATTGGCAAAGCTTTTTTATAACCCTTTTCATATATGTGTCTAAGAATGGTTGAATAAGACACTTGTACATGGTTTATTGATAACTTTGTTGCCAATGTTCTAGTCGAAACTGATGTATCTCTGCATATATATTGTCCCAAAGCTCTTGATGCATCTGCAGTAATTTTTTTTGACAGCCATTTCCTCTAGCATGATTCAAATTACTGGTTGTTTTTAATTTTTTATATTATCATACATCAGGAAATTAATTTAGCATAAACTTGCATAAATCTTATGATGCCGACATAATATTGTGTAAATCTTACAGTGCCAACATAAGTTTTACACTTTTTTATTATTAAACTTACAATTGACACATGTAAAATTTTTTTATATTTTCCAGATGTAGATGGTAGAAAGGGGTATATTCATTCTTTTGTTTATTTCCTTGGCCTCACATATACCATTATTCCATAAATGTAATATGGCTTGACATTGTGTTTCTTGTCTCGAAGTAGGCATGTTATAGTTATTTTTTTTAACAGGCAAAAAAGATTATCAGTTACAGAAGATCTCAATATTTAATTTTGAAACATAAGTTTATTTTGATTTTTTATAAAGCACAAATTAGATTTAAATTTGGGAAGCTATACATGTTTTTAGCTCACATAAAATTTTCTGGTTTTTTTTGAAACACACTGTATATATATGTATATGTACACATTAATTTTTTCTGTAATAGTTATTTAATAAAAATAATGTTTATTATAATTATAACCAAACAAGTTATTCTTTTACCCATTAAATATAATTAATATACACAAATAAGTGTGTTTATAATTATAACTAACCATGTTATTCCTTTTAACCATTAAATATATATAACCAATCAAGTTATTCTTTTACCTCAACTAAATACAACAATAATTCTTTTAATTAAATAATGTTCATATAATAATATTTACACTTATATATATTTACTACATATTACCATTTTAATTCCTCACATATAAACTATTAATTACTTGGCCATCAATTGCTGGTACAATAAAGCTGCCCTTGTTCTCCAAAATAAATTATTTTAATTTAAATAAATTTTTTTTTCATTTATATTGTGCAACAAACAAATTATTCTTAAAAAAAATGATTGAAATAAATAGTTTGCCACATGAACTTCTGACTGAAATATTCAAATATATTGAAGATGATTACCAAGAATTGTATTCTTGTATTCTTGTCAACAAACAATGGCACAATATAAATATTCCAACTTTATGGAAGAATCCATTGGTTTGTGATGACAGCATCAAAATATTAATTAATTGTATATTAGAAGAAGACAAGGATTTCTTAACTAGAAATTGCATTGAATTAACATTTGAACTATTGGAGAAACCACTATTATACAATTATGCCAGATTTTGTACTATATTTTCCAAACATTGTATTTTTCAATGCCTGATAAAAAGTAAAGATTTAGATTTATATCAAATTTTACAAAATAAATTAGGAAACTTTATTTTAGATCACTCAGCAGGTATTAGAAAGTTTGATTTTTTTTATATAGGTCATAATTTATTAATTAATCATCATAGATTTGATAATTGTTTTCAGAATCTTTATGAAATAGATTGTAAGAGTTTTGATAGTGGTGAATTTTTTTACAAATTAGCAAATATTTGTAAAAATATTCAATCATTAACAGTATGTTGTGATAGTTATAACAAAAATATATATAATTTAGCACAGCTAATTAAAGCACAAAAGCAAATTAAATATTTAACTATTACATCAACAATGTTACCAGATGAATTAAAAAAAGCAATATTAACACATTCACAATCAATAATTTTTTATAGATCTCATGGCAATGAGGATAATTTTAATAGTTTCTTATTGCCAACTTTTAAAAATTTAAAGACTTTAGAATTAATAATTCATGCCAATAGCAAAATGATAAATTTGAAAAATATTTCACTGCCAAATATTGAATCTGTGGAATTATATATTTCTTATCAACCATTTACATCAGACTTGACTGATTTTATTAATATCAATGGAAAAAATCTTAAAAATCTAAATGTTTGGGGTGAGAATGATGAATTCTTGAGAAAGATATTTCAATCAATTGCACAATATTGTAAAAATTTAGAAGATTTATCTATATTATATGAGGATGAATTAGACCAGGAATTAATGGAAGTGCTTAATAATTGTACTAAATTAAAAAGTATTGTATTTAATAATTATTTTAGTGCTGAAATAGATTGTGATAAAATATTGACAGTATTAAATGAAACATTACCAGAAAACTTAAAGTCAATAACTTTTACTTGTAATGTTTATAATGTCAGTGACCATTCTTTGGACATTCTAATGAATAATTGGAAAGGACCCAAACCTTTAGTAGTAGGAGTTGACAAGTATAAGTATGAAAATATGCTAGAAAGTGATGAAAGAAAAATATTAGAAAAATATCAAGATTTAGGGTTTTTAACAATAATAGAAAATAAATGTTATGGTTTGTTTGATTGATTCTTGATGAATTAGAAAAAATCAGGAAAATATTGAGAAAGCAAATAAAAACCTTTTAAATTTTTCAACAATTATAGCAACTATTCATCTAAATCCTGTTTATACAAGTAGATTATTGAATTTTACAAATCTTCCTCAATTATTAGTAACAACTATTTGATTTATTGTTTTTTTATTAATGATATTTTTATATTTTGTCTATTTAAATTAGATTCCTTGTGGTTGAAGTGACTTATCACCATGCCTCTTACTGTTATTATTATTATTATTATTATAAATATATTCAAGCATTTATACTTTGTTTTTATTTTATTTTTGCATTTATAAATATATAATAAAGATTTTTATAAAGGAATATTTAAAAATATTTGAAACATATTCTAATTTTGAATTTTCTTACATCCATAATAAATGGAATTAATGGATGGAGTATATTGAGAAAGTAAAATAAATTTGAACTTTCTTACATCTATAATTAATGGATATACATATATAATAAATTTGAATATCTTTATGTTCATAATAAATGGAATTAATAGATGAATATATATATGAATTTTCTTATGTCTATAATTATTGGATGAATTTAATCTTTCAAAATTTCATAAATGAGAGCTTCAATAGGCCTTTTTCATTCACTTTCTTCTAAGATAGATGAACTTGAATTATCTATCTTTTTTAAATGCTCAAATAAAATAATTATTAGCAATTAAGTAATGAAAATAATTCAGGAAAGTAGCCAAAAGTTATGTTCTTTCAGTTTCCATTTCAGTTTCTCCTTAGTTTCACAAGAATTTCAAATAAGCATGGTAAATCTTTTGGTTTGGGCGTTGTATTTGCCATTATAATTTTATATAAAAAATTTTTTTTCATCAAACAAATTATTCTTAAAAAAAATGCATGAAATAATTAGTTTGCCACTTGAACTTCTGACTGAAATATTCAAATACATTGAAGATGATTACCAAACATTATATTCTTGTATCCTTGTCAACAAACAATGGCACAATATAAATATCCCAACTTTATGGAAGAATCCATTGGTTTGTAAAGACAGCACCAAAATATTAATTAATTGTATATTAGAAGAAGATAAAGATTTCTTAACTAGAAATTGCATTGAATTAACATTTGAACTATTGGAGAAACCACCATTATACAATTATGCCAGATTTTGCACTATACTTTATGATTGCTATGATTTTCAATACCTGGTAAAAAGTAGAGAATTAAATTTACAGAATAAATTAGCAAACTTTATTTTAGATCATTCAGCAGGTATTAGAAGGCTTATTGCTGCTGGTTATATAGATTATAATTTATTAATTAATCATCATAGATTAGATAATTGTTTTCAGAATCTTTATGAAGTAGGTTGTCATAGTTCTGATAATGGTGAATTTTTTTACAAATTAGCAAACATTTGTAAAAATATTCAATCATTAACAGTATGTTGTGGTATTAATGACAAAGGTATGCATAATTTAGCACAGCTAATTAAAGTACAAGAGCAAATTAAATATTTATTATTATCTGTTGGATCATCAATGTTACCAGATGAATTAAGGAAAGCAATATTAACACATTCACAATCAATAATTTTTTATAGACTTTATGGCAATGGAGATCATTTTAAGGATTTATTATTACCAACTTTTAAAAACTTAAAGACTTTAGAATTATCAGTTTGTCATAATAGCAAAATGATAAATTTGAAAAGTATTTCACTGCCAAACATTGAATCTGTAAATTTATATATTACTTCTCAACCATTTATATCAGACTTTTCTGATTTTATTAATATCAACGGAAAAAATCTTAAAAGGCTGATTGTTGATGGTTGTACATATGGATCGGAAAAATTATTTCAATCAATTGCACAATATTGTAAAAATTTAGAAGATTTATCTATATTATATGAGGATAAATTAGACCAGGAATTAATGGAAGTGCTTAATAATTGTAATAAATTAAAAAGTATTAGATTTAACAATTTTCCTGAAGGTATATTAGATTATGATAAAATATTGACAGTATTAAATGAAACACTACCAGTAAACTTAAAGTCAATAGCTTTCACTTGTAATGTTTATAATGTTAGCAACCATTCTTTGGATATTCTAATGAAGAATTGGAGAGGTCTTGAACCTTTAATAATAAAGATTCAATAAATAAGTATGAAAATTTGCTAGAAAATGAATATAACAATTTAAGGTTTTTAAAAATTAAAAATATTTAAAATCACTTTATTATTATAAATGTTATCAATAGAGAATAGTCTGGAGGATTCCAATCTTACATAATTTTATTATTATTTATGTATTTGTCATTCTTTATTGTAACAATATATTATTATTCATTCTATATATATTATATTGTGTAATATTACATTTGATGGTCATTTATGATTTATTGTTATTGATGGTAAACATCAATTGAACAGTTGGTCAACATTAGCATTAATTTAATGTTAAGTATGATTAGTGGCAAGTGGCAAATGTAAATTACAATCTTGATGGTTACTAGTTAATATTTTCTTATAAAAAGAGTTGGAGCCCCTTTGATTTTTAAATGTAACATTTTCCAATATCTAATCATATAAATAAATAATTAATATATATAACAATAATTCTTTTAATTAAATAATATTTATACAATAATATTTACACATAGATCCGAATTATTAGTAATATATTATTATTACCTTAATGGTCGCGTGCATAATAATAAAACCTGTTAATACAATGTTATATGTATACAATTAATAATATTAGTAATATATTATTACTTATCTTGATGGTCGCGTGCATAATAATAGCAGTAATAAACACGTTAATACAATGTTATACAATATAGCAATAAATTATTATTATTATTATATTATTACTTACCACGTTAACCATAAGCCATTATAATAAATCAGTTACATATGTAACAATAACCATAATAGTAAACCTCGTTAATACAGTATATATACACGATATGAATCATTATTAGTAATTGATATATTAATATTGTTACTTACCGCCCACCATTATGCTTTGAACAAGATCTTTTAACCAGAAATCAAATGTATCTGGAAGATTTCTCAATGCTTCGTAATAATTGTTATGTGCAATCAAATGCGATTCATTTAATTTTTCACGAATTTTCTTAAGCTTTTTAATTATCCTACCATATTCATCTAACCTATCAAGATTTTGACATCTTATAAAGCTACCCAATTTATTGATCCTTTTTAATTTTAACCATTCCATTATGTCATCTCGATCTATATGTAATCGTCGACATCCTTCTTTATACCATGTTTTGTTTACTAACATTACATTTGCAATTTTTTTTGGATCTTTGATTTGCTTTATAATTTTACCAATTAGTTCTGGTGGTAACTTAAACACTGGAGGATTAAAATCAACATACTCGATCTCTTCTCTTACCTCTACTAAATCTCCCGCCTCAAACGGGTCTTTGCTATCATCGAGGTATTTTAACATATTGATAATATATCTAAAAGTTTTAGCAATAGATGCGAACATTTTTTGTTTTCTTTTTATATAGAAAGCAGAAATGTTTAATTTGAAAATTTTATTAATTTATTATTTTTTCTAGTTTCGCTAACTAACATGCTACGCATGTTTCACTCGCTTACCTGTTAACTGCTTTAAAGAAAAAAAAAATTTTTTTTCTTGGATTACATCACATAGTAAATTTAGCATATATTAATATGATATAAAAAATTAATGGTATCGAAATTACTATGAAACAGGTCTCCGGAAGATCTTATAGATCCAAACTGGATAAATTGTCTCGGAAAATCCTAGTTCTGTCCCAGAACCACTCTTTATACACAACAAGGGTTCCTTTCTAAATATCGTAGATTTTTATATTTGTGTAATCTAATAAATAATTTCGCACGGAAAATATTCTGTTGTAAAGGACTTGAAACGAATTTTCCAAACATTTTGTTGCACAACTGAATTTTTATGGATCAAAATCAAAGGGAAATTTTATGATGAGTCGTTTTTTTCTTTTTTTGCTATGCTGGCTTGCAAACTGATTTGAAAATATTTTCGCTTTCCGAAAATGATAAATGAATGTGGTCATTTTTTACATCGTTGTATCATGCAATTTCCAATTGTTATCTATTCGACAACCGAAAAATTTATCTGTTTTGTTCAAAACGTCAGGGTTCAGCGAAGCAAATACTTGACCGAAAGTAAATTGTGTTTCGCTTTAGATTTTTTTTACATTTTGTTATTATTATTATCGGTCAATTCAATGATCGATAAACCAACAATATGTACAAATTATTTTTTATTTTGACCAGTTGAGAGATAGTGGATGATCTGGATAGGGAAAAAATTTATCCTTTCGGAAAAACAAATAAAATCCATTGATTAATATTTGTAAAGGAGGTTTTTTTTCAATTAAAAAAAAAGCTTAGTTGATTTTTTTTTTTAACAAACGAAATTTGTAAATAACTTTTGATGTTTACATGGGGTTTATTCTCCAATAGCGATAGACTTGAAAAAAAAAAAAAATCCAATTGACCCATTGACCTTTAACCTGGGATAAATAAATAAACACGAGGACAAAAAGATCTTTTTTTTTTAATTAAGAAAAAAAAGCTTAGTTGATTTTTTTTCCGTTTGTATATAAATAAATAAAAAACAAACAAACAAATAAATTTTTAACAAATAAAATAAAATATCGATAATAAGACTGACTAACGCCGGTGCTCCGAACGAATATATAGATGCCTCGCATTTGTAATGTGTAAGGCTAAATCATACATAGAAGGCCATATCGGCACTACGTTCCTCGACTCTCGAATTAGAATGTAACGTAAAAAGCAAAACTAATGCACCGTTTTTTTGGTCCACGAGTGGGGTAGCATGTATATTTATATATTTTTGTTGTAATTTATTAGACTCCTCGATTAATGCCACAAAATAGCCTATTTTTATTAAAGGCTGCATCATTGATCACAAATACATAATAAGATGCTAAGATGCTTTGCATCCGGTGTGAATTTTGATGCTCCGAACGAATATATTTGTAAGTGATTGAAATACTATTACACCAAAAAACATCATCGCGATATAATACTAATCTGTATTTCCCGAAACTCATTGTTACATTTTCGTTTAAAAACTTTGTTTTTCTTTGCGAAGAACTGATAACGTGCACAAACAATTTTTGTGCAACATTTTTTATAGTGCCTTTAAGTTTTCCTCCAACAGGATTAATTGATAAGGAACAACTTTATCATCACCAAACTCTAGTGATCGATTTATCGTGATTTAAGAATAAATGAATTTCAAGACTTAGAAATGTTAAAAACTTGCTAAAATATGTACCAAAACCTATCTTATGTGCTATGTAAAGGTCGTTCTAAGTACCAATATTGTTCAATATATGTTGCTTCAAACTCAGATACTGAAGACAGCTCAAGCAAATTATTATTGTTATTGCGTATTACTATTATGCATAGTTAACTTCATTGTAAAAAGTAGAGGCATTTTTATTTTGAAAGAAAATATACGAAAAAGACAAGTAATTTAATTCTCCCATGATAATTATTCTTCCTACTGTTCTACATCATTGCAATATTCATACAATGATATAATAATACTTTGTTCATCCTCGGGATACACATTTTTAAACTTTTGATAATCTTATTTAATCATTATCATTATTGCTGCCTATTTTTAATTGTATCAAGTGTTTCACTTACGTCAAGCGGTTTTACTTATGTCAAGTGGTTTTACTTATGTCAAGGGCTTTTACTTTAATCAAATCGTCAAATGGCTCTGGTGAGAAACTATCTTTAGTCAATACTTTAATTACGTCAATGACTAAAGTCAAAAACTTCCGTCGTGCATCATTAGCTTCTATAAATTTCCTTTCATTCACTTACAATTGATTTATTTCAGTTATTTACCCTTGTTTACATTTACTAGTCGATTGCAAACTCGATTGGGTTGTTTACAAAACAACTTAAGTAGCTTGTTTAATAACCTTACGTTTACGACAACGATAATACTACCAGTATTTTCGATTAACCTTTGGACGATAATTCATTGACACCCACAGCTAACCCAACCCTTTGCTTACTCACTAAAGCAAATTACGTTGCTGATTGTTGTTAACACTCACTAGTTAGTCTTAACCCTGCTTGCTTGCTCACTAAAGCAAATAAACGCGACTTTTTACCATCTGACGTATTGGGAATAGGAATATTTTTTTGCACATGAATACTTATGGAGCTGGGACTTGCATTAATTGACCTTTCTGCTACCATTTTAATTGTGATGACTTTCTATGATTAGCTATAAAAGTATTTGTATCTTTCTGATTTTGTAATATGGTTTATTCGTTATACTTATTTGTATCATTCTATGACCGTTCTTATTTAAACCATTGAAGGTAATATAGAAAAAGAAAGTAAAATATCACAAGAAATTTTATTTAATAATAATCATATAACTAGAGGAATATTTTATGACAGCAACTTAGTCACTGGTGTTGTTTGTCATTTATTGTTTTATTCAAATAAAATTATTGTTTGGGCTAATTTTGAATATCCAAGTTACATTAAATGGTTGGTTGTTTAAATTACAAATAATTAAGATAGAAACTCTATAAGAAAAAGTTCTGGCCTTCGGCAAAGTTGGATATTTTTGTTGTGATATGAAGGGTGATATGATGAATGTTTTTTATACCACAATTATAAGGGACTCCTTTAGATGTTTTTGTTTATAACTTTGTTGTAATATATATATAATATAATAAATATTTGAGATTTTCTTAACTAAAGAATGATTTTTATTGTAGATACTATTTTGAGATGGCACAACAAATTTTTGGTCATCTAAATTTCACGAGCAGGCAATATTTTTTGAAGTTACTTTCGAATTTTTCTCCCCAAAAAAAGGATAGCTAGCGCATAACATAACCAAGTCTTTATCGATTCCATTGCCTAAAGCAATTACAAGTAGATGAATAATAGAGAGGTTAATGTGTATATAAATTATGGTTACCAATAAATTTGAAAATTTTCACTATAAAATAGCACATACCAAAAGTTAATTATCTAAATATGATTCCGTCCCTATATGTAATTTTTCCGCTTTTGTTCGTTATAGGGAGTGTTTACTAAGATGTTCGTTATAGAGAGTGTGAACTGTAGACGAAGATTATAAATTTTATTCAGATATGTATGTTCTGTTATGATAAATTATTTTATTGAAAACTTTAATATTAATAATAATAAAGAAATGTTTCGAAATAAAAAATAAAATGCGCTAAACGAAATTTTGTCCTAGAATATATTAAAGTTATATAAACCACATAAGCCATCCATATATATATATATATAAGTTCATGCGCTTCTATTGCATTATTAATATATACATATAGATAAATTTCTTTCTAGTTAGAATTTTGCAATAGTGCGAAAAAACTAAAATGTAATATTTAATTGTTTTATTAAAATAAAAGTTCTATATGATTTTATAACTGGAAAAACAAAATGAAGCCTTTGATTCTTAATGATGAAAATGATTATTAAAAATTCTTTCCTTCACGAATTAAATTTTATGCTTTAACATTGGAACGTCTAATGTCCGTCCGTTCATTTCATTAGTTGTCGTACAAATTCTCCAGAATTCAAATTTAATTGGATAATAATAATAATGTTGTTGCGCCGATAAATCCCCCGACAATCGGTTTTAAATAAGGAAAGAAGGAAAGTTACATGCATCAAATTTCTATTTTATTTTCCGATATCATGCATGATTAATTATATATTAATATGTGGTAAAAAAAATTCAAATACCCTCGTATCCAACAATGTAGACCGGCAGATTACCATTTTCTTTCTGTTAGTTCTTGAGAATAACATTTTAATAATGATAATTTTTTTCAATTTTTTCAATTTATTTGCAATATGTTCGTTATTGAAAAAGATTCAATCGGACTTTTTCCTACATGAAGTACTCGTAAAGTTATTTTGCTTTTTTTAAAGTTTCGTATCACGACCTTGATTCTTATTATGATAATAACTCGCTCCATAAAAGGTGAATTCAAGGAAAAAATTCAAAATTTAAAGATAAAGAAAGAGCTCCCAGATGATAAAACATATGGTGTAATAACAAGGAAAATTATTTTACCGTATGTGATTTTTAATATTATTATTGTAGTTGAGAAAATGCAGATGCGGAAAAATACACGATCAATTTTCCTGGATTTTTTTTTCCTTTGTTATACAAGTGGTCTGCAAATTTTTAAATAGAAACCTTACGGAACAAACATGCTAATT